GAAGTTAAATGTAATTCTTATCTTTGCTCTTCTATTGGTAGAATTTTTCCCCTCCTTCAGTCCTCTTTCAAGATTTTTTAAAAAGCTTTGATTTTCTGCAGTTTGAACATGGTATGTGTAGGCATAGTTGTTCGGGGGCATTTATTCTTCCTGGTATTCTCTGAGCTTCCTGGATCTGTGGTTTGGTGTCTAACATTAATTTAGGGGACTCAGTCATTATTGCTTCCAACATTTCTTCAGTTTCTTTCATTCTTTCTTCTCCTTATGATAGTCCTGTTGCACGTTATGTGCACCTTATGTGGCTAATTCACATGCCTTTAATCATCTGTTGTTTTTGTTTTTGTTGTTGTCATTTTTCTCTCTCTCTCTTTCCTTTCAGTTTTGACATTTCTACTGAGATATTCTCAAGCTCAGATAGTCTTTCCTTAACCATGTTCAGTCTACTAATAAGCTCATCAAAGGCATTCTTTGTTTTGTAACAAGGTGTCACTTTGCTGTCCAGGCTGGAGTACAGTGGCATGATAATAGCTCATTGCAACCTGAAACTGCACTCTCAAGTGATCCTCCAGCCTCAGCCCCCTGAGTAGCCAGGGCTAGGGGTATGTACTACCAAGCCAAGCTAATTTTTATTTTTATTTTTTGTAGTGACAGGGTCTCACTGTGTTGCCCAGACTTGTCTCAAACTCCTGGCCTCAAATGATCCTCCCACCTCAGCCTCTCAAAGCATTGAGATTACAGCGCGAGCCATTGTGCCCAACTGGCATTATTTATTTCTCCTACAGGTTTTTTGATCTTGCATTATAAAAACAAATTCTTTCTTAGCATTTCCATCTCTCTGGTTACATTATCCATATGTTTGTACACGTTGCCTTTTTTTCCCATTAGTTTCCTGAGCATATTAATTACAGCTGTTTTAAATTTGTGATCTGATAATTCCTACATCCCTGCATATCTGAGTCTGGTTTTGACGCTTGCTCTATCTCTTCAATTTGGGTGTTTTGCCCTCTAGTGTGCCTTGTAATTTTTTGTTAAAAGTCAGACATGAAATACTGGGTGAAAGAACACCAGTAAAAAAAACATTTAGGCCAGGCTCGGTGTCTCAGCCTGTAACCCCAGCACTTTGGGAGGCCAAGGCGAGTGGATTGCCTGAGCCCACGGTTCGAGACCAGCCCAGGTAACTTGGCGAGACCTCGTCTCTACAATAAAATAAAAAATAGTTGGGCGTGGTAGCACATGTCTGTAGTTCTGGCTACTCAGAAGGCTGAGGTGGAAGGATCACTGCAGCCCAGAAGGTCGACGCTGGGGTGGCCATGAGCATGAGTGCCACTGCATTCCAGTATGGGCAAAGGAGTGAGACTCCAACTAAAAAAAAAAAAAATACTGTTAGCTAAACAAAATTACAGCAATTTCATTTTAAAAAAAGAAACATTTAGTGATATGGTGATAAGCTGTGGGGGAAGAGGAGGTATTCTACAGTACTATGTTTGAGTTTCAGTCTTTTAATGAGCGGGCTGTGAACTTCACAAGTGCCTCTCAGTGGGAAAGGATGGCTGGAGGAGGCTGGAATTGTATATTTACCTCTCTCCAGTTTGGTTAGTCTCTGGCAAAATACCGATAGTCTAGGTTCTGATGAAACAGTTTCTCTTAACAGGATGCTTGTTAAGAGAATATTCTGAAGTATTTCAAAATGGCTACTGTTCTTTCTCTGTTGAAACCACAAAGGAATTTTTCTATGATTCTCACTGTGAAAACCTGGTAGAGCTCCGGGAGGTAAAATTCACGGATGGGTTGAATCTCCCTAGAGTTTTTAACTCACAGACGTGTCCACACTGAGCCTCCAACAACTTATCAGTTATAGTTCAGGTTTTCCTACCTCAGTACTGGTTCCCATGGAGGTGTCTGGCTGTGGGTTTCTGCCCTAGTAAGTTGTAATTCTCTGTACTCACCTCTTTGTCTCTTTGATTTTTGGAGCACTGATTTGCCTTGTGACCTTCCTTCTCTGATAGATCAGAGAAGAGTTGTTGATTTTTCAGTTTGTTCGGATTTTTACTTGTTGTTAGGATGAAGTGGCTACTTCTAAGCTCCTTGTATCCTGAACTGGAAATCTGTGTGCCTTCGTTTTTAAAGAAATTGCCCAAATTTCCATGTCCATGCCATTTCACATTCTTACTGGCATTGTATGAGAGTTCCTGTTATATTGCATCCTTGTCAAAGCTTTGTATTGCCAGCCTTTTAAATTTTAACAATTTTTTAGTTATAAAATAAGTGAGTTTTGAGGATCTGATTTAAGGCATGATGTCTAGAATTAATAATATTGTATTATATACTTGAAATTTCCTGAGAGTAAATCTTATATGTTCTCACCACCACCACACACAGACACACAGACACACAGACACACAGACACACACACACACACACACACACACACACACACACACACACACACAGGTAACCATGTGAGGTGAATGTGTTAATTAAAAGCCATTTTTTGAGCCAGGCTCGGTGGCTCAGCCTGTAATCCCGCGCCTTTGGGAGGCTGAGGTGAGTGGATTGCCTGAGCCCGCGGGTTCGAGACCCGCCTGGGCAGGCGAGACCTCATCTCTATGATAAATCAAAAAATCAGCTGGGCGTGGTAGCACATGCCTGTAATTCCGGCTACTCGGAAGGCTGAGGCGGAAGGATCGCCGGAGCCCCGCAGGTCGAGGCTGCGGTGGCTGGGAGCGGCCACTGCACTCCAGTCTGGGCGACAGAGTGAGACTCCAATTCAAAAAAAAAAAAAAGCCATTTTAAATTTTATCTAATAACTATTGTTGTTAAGCATTGGCCATTTATACATCTTCTTTTGTCAAGTGTGTTTTCAAATATTTACCTGTTTTTAAAAAGTGGGTTTTCTTTTTCTATTGAGTTGTTATACTTATTTCTGCTTTTTGTACACACGTTTTTTTGTCAGACATATGTATTATGAATGAGTTCTCCATTCTGTTGCATGATGTCAAAGTGCAAAGTTAAATTTTCATAAAGTCCAGATTGCCATTTTTTTCTTTAGCTTTTTTTTTTATGTGTCCTAAGAAATATATGCCTGTCTTAAGATTATAAAAACTTTTTCTATGTTTTCTTCCAGATATTTTTATTTTAGCTTTTATGTTTAGATATGTGATGTGATCTATTTTGAGTTAAATTTTGTACATGGTGTGAGGTAGGGGTAATTGATCAGTTTTTCTAAATTTATCAATATGGCTTTGTCCACATAATAAAATGATAGTTTTAGAAGACATGAAGGATTTAAATTTATAGAGATGAAAAGTAGAATAGCCATGACCAGGGGCTAGGGACTGAGGGGGAAGTGTAGAGTTATTGTTGAATAGGCACAAAGTTCCTATTTGGAATGATGAAAAAATTCTGGAAATAGATAATGATGATGGTTGCACAACAATGTAAATGTATTAAATGCCACTGAATGATACCTTAAAAATGGTTAACATGGTAAATTTTATGTATATTTTATTATCATTAAATACATGAATAAGAACTGAAGAAAGAAACAGAGAGAAAAAGGAAGGAAAAAAGAAAAGAAGGAAGGCAAACATCTGGGGGACATTTCTGTTTCCCAACATAGCAGCAAAACTTGGTGTTATAAAAATCTATTAAAAAAATAAACCAGCCAGTCTTCTGCCTTAGAAATGTGAATTCTCAACTGAATAAAGAAGTGTTTCGTTTTGTTTAATTTACATATTAATGCAATACAGAATGGTAGGAAGTAGATATGGGCGAAAATGCCACCAGCAGTAAACACTTGGTTAAAAAGTTGAACACAGGATGTCAATGTGAAGGGCATGAGGATGACAGATGAAGAGACATAAGGGCTGAGAAAATTCTGAGCCAGTTTATTTCAAAGATCTAAGGACAGACAGAAATATGTCAAAAGACAGACGGCAGCAGGTTAAGTGGGCTCCAGGATGAGACATGTCTTTGTTTAAAGTTCATTTGGATTGGTGTCAGTAGAACAGGGGTGACATGAAAGGCAGACAGACGCCAGCTGGGAAAGCGCCGATGTGGCCATCTATACTTTCCACAGGAAGGACAACTGGAGTGGATGCCGGTTTTCACGCCATTGCCGGGACAGTCCTGCAGCAAATTCACACACAGTCTTCAAAAGTCACACTGTACCAACTCTCTGTTTCTGCAGGCAACTTTGTTGAAGACTGGAGTGTTTTAAGTTTTTTGTCCTTAAAAGAAAAACAGCTTTGTTTATAATTGGCCAAGCAAGAACAAAGATTCTTCGATACTTATGGCATTGACTTTTCTTTTTGTTTTTGAGTTGGAGTCTCATTCTGTCGCCCAGACTGGAGTGCAGTGGCTGCTCCTGGCCACCGCAGCCTTGACTTGCTGGACTCCGGCGATCCTTCTACCTCAGCCTTCCAAGTAGCTGGAACTACAGGCGCGGGTCACTATGCCCAGCTTATTTATTTATTTATTATTTAATGTAGAGACGAGGTCTCACTAAGTTGCTCAGGTTGATCTTGAACCCCTGGGCTCAAGAAATCCTCTTGCCTCGGCCTCTCAAAGTGCTGGGATTACAGGTTTGAGCCACGGCGCCTGGCCATGGCATTTTCTTTTTCTTTTTTTTTTTTTGAGTTGGAGTCTCACTCTGTCACCCAGACTGGAGTACAGTGGCCGCTCCCAGCCACCGCAGCCTCGACCTGCCGGGCTCCGGCGATCCTTCCGCCTCAGCCTTCCAAGTAGCCAGAATTACAGGCATGCGCTACCACGCCCAGTTGATTTTTTGATTTATTGTAGAGATGAGATCTCGCTGTCCAGGCGGGTCTCGAACCCGCGGGCTCAGGCAATCCACTCATCTCAGCCTCCCAAAGGCGCGGGATTACAGGCTGAGCCACCGAGCCCAGCTGGCATTTTCTTTAAAGGCTGTCTATCTTATCTGCTGGCTCAAATTGGGGCAGAATACGTATGAAACCACACTTTTCCTGGTCGTACTGGCCTTCTCCTCTCTTGGTAACCATCTCCTACCCTTGACTGAACCATACTTCTCTCATCCTGCAGTTTTTCTGGTGGTTCAATCTACCTGGTACTCACTGAAAACTTAGAGAAAGAGTATGTAGATTAAGAAGTTGCAGGGAGTTGGGGTACACCTTGAAGAAGAGTGACTAAGAGGACAGAAGTCTCTGACATTAATGGCAGCTGAAGCACTGTTCTGAGAAGTCCCCCAAGACCCTCTCCGTGTGGGAGAGAAGTTGCAACCCTTTAGTCATATCTACCAGGGACAAGTGACAGGGATTGATGGTACTCAAAGCACCTGTTCGCCACTTGCAGACTGGGGCTAATCTTTTCACGAGTAACTTACCTTTCAGTTATAGTCACATCCAATTCATTTTTTTCTGGGGTCCAGTTCTATGCAAGTTGACTGTATTCATTCCCGAAGGCTGTCCTGACAGATTGCCACCAACTGGGTCGCTGAAAACACCAGACAGTTATTATCTTATGGTTCTGGAGGCTGGAAGTCTGAAATCAAGATGCCAGCAGGGTTGGTTCCTCCTGGGGGCCTGGAGGGCTATCTGTTCCAGGCCTCATGCTGAGCTTCTGCGGGTTGCTGCAGCAACTCTGGTCATTCCTGGGCTTGCAGCTACATCACTCCAAACTCTGTCTCCATCGTCCACAGCCTTCTTCCCTTGATACTTAACATCATTTTAAAAATAAGGACACCAGTCATAGTACATAAGAACTCCTCCTACTTCAGTCTGAACTCACCTTACTAATCGCATCTGCAAAACCCTATTTTCAAATAAGGTCATGTTCTGAGGTATTGGAGGTTCAGAGTCCAACACACTGTGGGGACACAATTCAACCCATGACTAGGACTTAAGCTGAAGTTTTCACTAAAACATGAAGTCACCATGGTGCAAAAACAGAATTGCTTTGAAATCCACCTCTTCTGTTCTCATAAAGAAAACGAGGACAATGAAGAGAAACACTGGATGTTAAACTGAGGACTATAGGTTTAAATATCCGTTCTTATTTATTTATTATTTATTGTAGAGACAAGGTCTCACCAAGTTACCTGGGCTGGTGTTTCTTGTGTTCCTGAAAACTGAAGGAAGAGTTTGCTCCAGACTCCTGGGTTCTGGGATTCACCCATGCATGGCCAGAAGGTGACTTGAAGATCCCTCTGTTTCCTGTGTCCATGGCTGGCCCCATGACAGAAATACACCACAGAAATTCTCTGTATTGCTGTTAGCACATTAGTTAATGTGAGAAAACACAAATGAAACAAAGTATTTCTGTAAATTCAAATGGGCCTGATCCAGAGTTTAAATTCACGAGGATGGGCCCGCTGTTCCTTGAAGTCCCTAATACGTCTGAGGTATTACTTTACTGAACCTCAGTGTATTTATCTGCTAAATGGGAGATGTTCCCTTCTAAAGAAAACTTACAGCTTCTTTCTGCTTCCCTGTCTCCCCTCAGGCTGCAGTTCTGGGTGGTCAGTGTAAAGTCATTCTTTGGTCACTGCTGGAAAGTGGAGCTTTTGCTGGGGCTGGTTAAGGGAACAAGACTGGTGTGTCCTTACCTTTATCTGTGGAGATGCCATTCAGTGTCCTCCTGGACTCCAAACCCTCAGGATCACTGGTCTACACTCTTCCTCAAAAACTTCACCCCGGGCAGCGGCTTATTTGCTCTCTCTCCTTCCCTCCCTCCCTCTGCAGATATATCCCTCCGGAGTCTACGCAGTCAGTCACGTGCTCATGCAAAACCAACCTAGGTCAACAAAATGAAGGAACTTAGGCGTGAGTTCATGGCTGAGAACCTGCTCCTGTGAGTCCTTCCTAGGTGATACATGTATGTTGTAACAAAGGCCTCTGGGGACAATGTCCTAGCCTCCTCAAACCTTTATTTGCTGCTTCACAGAAGACACAGTGTGACTCTGTAGGAACATCAATCTGGCCACTGGGACAGACTGCAGGGTGGCAGGTGTATTTGTGACACTTCAAATGATAGTACATGAACACTCCCATATTGGGATCTAGGCAGCACCAGCACTGACCAAAAGACTCCGCCCTAGCCTAGCACAGACTAGAAGTGGCCGTGGTTGGAGGCCCCTGTCCCCTGCCTCAAGCAGAGTAGGACTGGGCACTGTTATGCTCACCAATGCTTCTGTGAGTCCTGCATACTGTCTGCCCCTGAGCAGACGTGGTCACTAGTCACCTCTCAGAGAAGTGCTTGGGGTCCCTCATTCCTCCTCTTCTCTGCACCACATAGGTCCCCCAGATCTCCTCCAGCTCCCGCAAGACCCAGACCCCACTCTTTCCCACCTATTCCTCCTCGAATCCCCCTTCTCACCACTGTCCATTCTCATCACTGTCCCTTCTCATCACAGTCCCTTCCTGGTAAGCTAACAAAGAAGCTTAAAAGAGAGTGCACTCAGACCTGGCTTACTGCAAGCTAAGAGCATCAAACAATTAGAAGGTAGGGCTGTACCTGTCCTTAAGACCTGATTTGATCTACAAAGGGAACGTGGACTTCTGTGTGTTATTGGTTTGGTTTCCCCCCCCACCTACTTCTCAGCAGTGTCCAGGCCATGGGCTCATCCTTTGGTAGTGGTCAATCTGATCCTGATCATTACTGGACATTTGGGATTTAGACATATGTCCCCACCCTAGATAATGCCCAGTGGCATCCTGTCATTCCGGTGAGTGATCTTCAGACTTACCCTCCTGCCTTTCTCTGGTGTTGTTGATTTCAAATCAAATAAGCACAACATCTAGCCTCACTCCCCCACCCCAGTTTGCAAAGTTGCATGAAAAAAAAAAAGTCAGGGACAACCCCCTCAGATCCCCTCCCACTGTGGGAGATTTTTTGTTCTCTTAACAAATTCTGCTTTCAAAAAAAAAAAAAGAGAAAGAAAGAAAAGGAAGGAAAGAAAGAAAGGAAGGAAGGAAGAAAAGAAGGAAAGAAAATAAAAAGAAAGAAAGAAAAAAAGTCAGCAAATGCCCTGCCTGATTGATTTCCGGAAACTCTTGGCGTCATTTTTGCATGTTCATCTCTGATTTCCACAAGCAGTGTGGGTCAATAACTGGAACACAGCAATTCTGAGAAGCCAAAACCATGCCACATCTTTTTTGAAGGAGGAGGGGAGGAGCTCCCTTCTACCACCCTCGTCCCGGCAATGTGCCAGGAAGGACAAGTTCAAGGGATGGAGCTCTCAGAGTGGATGGATAATCCCGAAGAAGGGGCTCTGCAAACCAAGATGATAGGTCACTACCCAATCATAACTCACTGCAGCCTTGAACTCCTAGGTTCAAGAGATGTTCCCACCTCAGCCTCCACAACTGGCCAATTTTTAAATTTTTTGTAGAGACAGGGGTCTAGCTATGTTGACCAGGCTGATCTAGAACTTCTGGTTTCAAGCAATCCTCCCGCCTTGGCCTCCTAAACTGCTGGGATTACAGGTATAAGCCACCGCGCCCAATCACATTTCAGCACTTTTAAGACATCCTTACAGAAGTGTATTGGCTGGGTCATCTGGATGGGTGCATTGTAGCCAAGAACTATGCATTAGTTCAGCAACTGTTTGCTCTTAGGTTTATTGGTGTCTGGAAGTGCTGTTTTAACTGTCACCGTCTGGTAAAGAAAGGTCAGATGCTTGTCAATAAGTCACATAGAGAAGGGATCACAAACCAAAATACTCAGAGGCTGACAGGGCATTGGCATGAATACAGCATCTGGTGTGGAGTCAGAACAAACAAGAAGCCCAGGCTCAGTCTAGAAGGGTCACGGCTCATCTCTGACCCCATGGCCTCTTGGGAACGGGAGCCTCGTGGGGTTAAATTACCAGCTTTTCAAGAGAAGCTGGAAAAGCAGATCCGATGTGTAATTTCTTAATTCTTCTATGAGGGGACCCCCAAAACTGGAACTGTCTTTTGGAAGGAGGGCCCATTAGGTCAGTATTCTAGGAACACATTGGCATCATTGTACCAGCTAGCACAGAGGTTGCGTTTGGCTTCAGTGAATTTTGGGGGGGAGATTATTTCATTGTGTTTGCCCATTTCATGATGGGTGATTTCTGAGTGCACCTGCCTACACTGCACTGTTCAGCAGTTTTTGACCAAAACCGGCATGGCTCCTGTGCCCCATACTCCCTGTTCACCCAGTTTTGTCTCGAAAAACTTCTTGTGTTTTCCCCAGATGAAAAAAGGTCCTCAAGGGGAAACATTTTGCTGATTTGGAAGAGGTGAAATAAAAAATGGCAGAAACACTAAAAGGCATCAAAATTGATGAGTTCAGAAACTGCTTTGAGTAGTAGAAAAAGCATCTCAATAAATGTATTGCATCAAATGGAGAGTACTTTGAAGGTGACTGAAGTTTAAACATGTAAGAATAAATACACAATCTTTTATAAATTCGAGGGGTTTTGGGTCCTCCCTCGTATAATAGCAACTAACTGAAAAATTAACACTGAGAGAATCAAATAAAACATGGCTTCATATAGCTTGCAGTCCTCCAGTTCACACCCTAAGCTAAACAAAGGTTGTGGGCAAGTCCAGTCATCACAGAGTGTGTGGTGGGCCAGGAATGCCAGGCTCTGGAGAACAATGTCTCCATGGCCACGAGAAGCCAACATTTCAAGAAGCCGAACTAATTTCAGTGGAATAACATCATCCATCACACTCATCAATTTTAATTTTGTTGACCTGTTTTTGGTTTTTATTTATTTTTAAATTTGCCTTCGGTTTTATAGCTGTATATTTGTTAATAATTAAGAAATGTTCTAATTTTTAATGGACAAAATTGTATTATTTATGGTGCACAACATGATGTTTTGAAATAGATATAAATTGTTGAGTGGCCAAATCAAGCTAATTAACATATATATTACCAGCTATACTTACCAGCTATTTGTGGTCTAATTTAAATAATTCAAATCATCACTGGGTGTCTGTGAGATATAGTCATTCTCAAGTCTGAGAAGTGATGCCCTGTCTCATTTAATCTTCACATAAATCCTTAGGGAATATGTATTATTCGTCCCATTTTAGAGATGAGAATACTGAGACTCAAAGAAGTTAAATGATGTGCCCAAAGCCATACAGCTAATGAAAAGCAGAGCTGAGATTTGAACCCAGGTTAGGACTTACTCCAAAGCCCATGATTTCAACTCCAACTCCCAATTAGCAACACTGGAGTTATGGATGACACCATCCCTCTCCCACCTGAGTCCTTTCACCTTGCTTTTGACCTTCTATTGCTATCTGCTTAGTCAAATCTACATTCCCTGAGTATGTAGATGGGCCCAGGATAAGGGAGAGAGATCCCAGATGTGGGATTTGGGTCTCAGAGAGACCAACATTCAGAAGGGCTTGGGAGGACTCTGTGTTCAGAACCATTAACGACAATTTCCAAGTTACTTCGTGGTCACCTCCATTTTTGTGAGCTGGCCTGGGAACCCAACCACCACTTACAATCTTCTTTTTTTAAAAATAAACATCGTGTAAATTCTAATTAAACTTTGGAAACAGTTCAACGTCAACTAGACTGCCTGTATGGAGATAAGGTGTGGTGGGTGAGGAATCCGCTGAGAAGGTCGTGGGTTTATGTCCTTTGTAGGTAGATAAGCCTCTCTCTGCTCGGGTCATCGCTGCCTTCCTAATCTTGTCTGCTTGTAGGAAGGCGTGCCTGCGGAACAGCAAAGGTTGGTGACAGGTTCATCAGCATGCCTGCGACTGCAGGACCCGCAGGAGTGCCCTGGCAGATGACAGATTAAACAACGTGTGAGGAACACTGGGAAGGGAATAGCATGAAAATGTGACAGTGATTCTCAGAGGCATTGTAGCATTATGGGAGATGTAAATTTCTCCTTAGAGTTTTTTACAACCTCAAAACAATATATTGCTTTTACCATAAAGAAAAAAAATTTTATGAAAGAAAAAGGAATATATAAAAATCCATCCTGACCCAGGGGGAGGAGTACACACACAACCATCTGTCACATCTCCTTAAGTGTCCCACGGTGTGAGAAGACAATAGAAGCCACAGATTGGATGCAGAGTAGAACATGTGCCACTGTGAGAGCCGGGGAATGTCCCAAGCATTTATGGGAGGTATGGGTAGTGACACGCTTCTTTGTTTCTTCCCAGTTGACTCACATCTCGCTCTGA